ATTGTGTGTACGCTGATCTGGTCTTATCATCATTAATTTATGGTTAATCACGTACTAATTACACTGAAAACGATACAAGACCGGAAGATTACTTGCATGTTTGGATAGAATATCTGTGGTGACACACACAAACGACACTCGCAAATAGGGACTCAAAACACGACAAGGGGATTGATTCTCCTGTTTCCGACATCCTATATATTTGATTGGTCCTCATTGTGTCCATGAAATGTCATTCTAACCCCCCCCCCCCCCCCCCCCGACACCACCCATCCCATTTCTCTCACATCTTCCTAAATACAATTTACATTTAAAGTTAACTTGATAATTTCATGTTCGTTCCTTGTTTGATTCTCTGTGTCAGTTATTTATTAGTCTTCTTGATTTGAACTTGTCAATTATGGACAACTTAAACTGATTTACTTCAGTGACTAGGGTCATAAGGCGGACCTTACCCAGTGCTCTCTCAGGTGGGACTGCGATTTTTTTTTTTCTTCTATAAATCAGATATTATAATTTGGTTATAAAGTTATAGTTGAAAATTAAATTACTTATGAGTATAAGTTCGTGGTGGTTGAGAAACTGAACAACAGATATTATTAATTTTTTGATGAGATGGAAGGATTCAACCCAGACCTCGCCTCAACTGAAGTCCTCATTCATCCATCATGGGCTTGGAACGCCCACACGATCATCCATTAAAGCTTGGCCTATGTCACTTGGCGGCATGTACGTGCATCTCTTCTCAATCCCTCCCTCAATGTCTTGTCATTTTTTGTTAAGATGTCAGTCACCACCTACCGACGTTATTAATATAGATTTTAAAAGTTTGTTTTACTCCGTATTTATTTGTCATCTCATTTTGCACCTTGTACTAACTTAGTGCTAATCAAAGCTTTTCGATACACCTATATGACCATTCTCCCTTTCAATCTGTAATCAATCTTATAGTGTCCTCACAGTACTTTATAATCTCTATCTCTAATTAGTGAAAACACGTACAAACTCTTACTCACCAATCTAATTTTAGTTATCATTCATAACTTTAAAATTTCTTGCCAATTCCCATTTCGTTTGAATATATTTAAAAACCAAAAAAAAAAAAAAAAAAAAAAAAAAAAAAAAAAAAAAACATGCATGAAAGATGATGATAAAGAAAAAGGAAACAACCAAAGTCAATACCTTCGGCATTAATCTCTCTAGCTTGCTAGGACGAAATTCCCAAAACTTGTCAACAAAGCCAAACTCGTCGTTGTCAATATCGCCATCGCCATAACCGATTAAACTAATGGAAAAATCAGTTCCCCAAAACTCGTACCATCTTCCTACATAATTTACTCTAAACGGCTTGCTTTAAGAAACTATTTTCTTAATTCTCTCATAATTAGCACCTACTCTATATATCCCAACTCATCTCCTTAAACCACTAACTTTTTTTGGGTGAAAAGGACAACAACATATCTGTCACCATTTAAAAATAAATGTGTACCGAGTAAATCTTATTTTTATTATAGTATAATAGTCTGCAATCGCACTAAAAAGGCCATGTGCAACGGACTTGATCGAGAAATTTGATATAAAAATCATGTTTTACTCACTCAGTCATCCTTTTGAAGTATGCCACTAATTTTTTCTTCTTTGCTAGACTATATCCTGAACCCCAAAAACATATCTCACCCAACCGAAACTCTAATGTTTGTCCTAAGAATAGAATTTCTTTCTTATAACTAAAATTGAGTCTTAAGTTAAACTTTTCATCTTAAACCAATACCCTGTAGGGGCTAGGCCGACTAACTTTTGAGAAACGCAATCCTATGTGGTACGTACAAAACAAGAGAAGGCGGAATAATCGTAATCAGTTTTGTTTCTGGTCAGTCCGTGAATGGAGATTGCGTAGTGGAAGCGGAACCATTAAATCCACGTCGGTGGCCGAATTGAAGTTAAATACAAATAATTAACACTATTAACTCTAATACTTAATTAATTGTGTTAATGTGCTGCAATCTAACGTGGCATTGTTTTGTCAAAGTTACTAAACATTGAAATGGTGTGCTTTATGTGTTTGGTTCAATTATCAAAATTTAATTCATTTATTAACATTGAAATGATATGTATTATGCGTTTGGTTCAATATGATTATCAAAATTTAATTCATTTATTAACGTTGAAATGGTGTGCATGATGATGTGTTTTGGTTCAATTATCAAAATTTAATTCAAATTATTTATAATTTTTGTTGTAACATTTACATTAATATTAGTAAACAAAATTTATATAAGTGTACAGAGCGTAAAGATATTTATTAAACGCATAGATGTTGTAGCTAGGAGGGTCCATCAAAATTTTAATACTCCACATTTTATATTTTACTAGGTATAAACATGTGCAAAACGCATAAAAATTTCCGATGAAGAAAAAGAATGGTTAGATAAATGTAAAATCACGGAGTGTTTTGTAAATATTGATGAGTTTGATTAGTTAATAGCATTAGCAAATTATTAAAAAAAAGTATTTGATAAATTAGTTGTTAGTTTATAATTGATTACATGTAAAATGACTTTTTCAAAAAATTGATTAAAAAAAATATTTTGAGCATCTTTTTGAATTTTAACATTTTGGAGCAATAAGCTATTACAAAAAATTCGAATAGCTGTCAAATAAGTCAAAATTTGCTAATAAGTTAACTATGTTATAAGTTTTTTTAGAAAGTCATTTTGCATGTAATCAACTGTCAAAACGCGTTTAGTCCGTCCCGTCTCGTCCCGCCCCGCCAAAATGGCGGGCTTGGTGGGCCGGCGAAGGCCTGCCAAGCCCGCCTAGTATGTATACATTATTAATAGCAGTGGGCCTACAACAAGGGCGAAACGGGTCGGTCTATTTTAGGTCCATATGTTGGTGGACTTTTTAGCTCGCTTCGTAATATGGCGAGCCCCATCCTATCGGCCAGTTTTGACAGCTAATTTTCAAACATCTTTTTACAATCAGTTAATGCTATCAACTAATCAAACTAACTAACAATTATTTATCAAATACTCCGTATCTTTTTTTTTTGACAAAAAATACTCCGTATCTCCTTATACTAAATATTTAAACAAGTTAAACAACTAATAGTTGTTAAACAAGTTAAAATTGATTGATAATTTATAGTAGAGAATTACAACAAGATAAATTGTTCTTTGTTGTTATCGGTGATTGGTTCAAATTAACAAAATTAAATAAGATAATTTTGACTATGAATCGAATTTGATTGATCAACTAAATTGATTAGGATTGGGTCGCAAAATGATTTCCTCGTTGCATTTTTGTTGTGTGTGCGTACGTGTGTATTAAAGAAAAAATTGAAAAGTAGACGATGGGATCGTCGGACTGAAACGGGGCGGGCGATGTGATGCACTATGTCGGCCAGGCTAAGGTACGTTGTACTTATCATGAAGGAAGGAAGATCAACGTGGCGGCCGTGCCCCGACGAGAAACTAGCAGCCACGTATGAAATATCGTATCCCCACCCGCAATGCCTCACCATTTCTATCCTCTTCATTATCCTAATTTCTAAATACATGTAAAATGTATACTCACTCATAATTGAAGTATGTGCTCCATCTCAACTAAAAGCCTAAGCTGATATTTGGATTACACATTAATGGCTATATGTTCACACGCCCCCTCACGTGTGCGGTGGGGGCTATATGCTCACACGCCCCCTCACGTGTGCGGTGGATTACATAAAAGCTTACATGTGCGGTGGGGGCTATATGCTCACACGCCCCCTCACGTGTGCGGTGGATTGCATAAAAGCTTACGTGTGCGGTGGATTGCATAAAAGCTTACGTGTTCGGTGGGGGCTATATGCTCACACGCCCCCTCACGTGTGCAGTGGATTGCATAAAAGCCTAAGCTGATAGTTGGATTACACAGTAATGGCTCCGTAGTCGCTTATGAGTGGCGTTGAAATTCGAACTCATAACCTTTGGTCTGGCTCTGATACCAAATTGAAGCATGTGTTGCATCTCAACTAAAAGTCTAAGCTGATAGTTGGATTGCACATTAATGACTATATGCTCACACTCATGATAGGTATTTATATTGGAGAAGCTACTTATACCAAATTCAATCAATCCATGTCATAACATATTGCAAGTATATTAATGCAGTGCTTTCTTATGATAAAAATTAAAAATATGAAATCGTTTATCCTATACGTTTCCACATCCTGGTCCAATGATGTGGTACTTTCTAAAGGCATTGTCAATAATGGTGATTTTAGATGAATTTTAGTAGGTGTGATTAGGAAAGAAAAATGAGAGGAAAAAAAAATGAAAAAAAAAAACAAAAAAAACAAAACAAAACAAAATTTGATTTAAAAAAAAAAAAAAAAAACAGAGAAGTAAGGAATTAATGCGCCCTGGCGTGTGCAGATTGGGCTTCACGCAACTTGTGATGCAATTCTTTGTTTCAAAAGCTGGGCCCACCAACTGACAAAATTCCTTAAATAGCAGAACCAACTCTTCCACTCTCTCTCCTGTTCTCTTTCATCTAAGGTGGCATTTTTTTTTTGAAGTACCTTGAACAATCCCGCTATTAGGGATGCTCTAACTTGCTAGCTAGTGTGGTTGGTCGATTGGATGGTCAATTGGCACTATAGTGCTAATGTAGCGTTTTCTATTTTCCTATTGTAGTCAAGATTTTAAATTGCATGATATAATGCTTTCCACGACCTGACAAACACACGGGATAAATCATGTTTTCATGTAATGATTCACAAATCATACAAAAGAAACCGATAAATCACATTAAGAAAATCCTATACAACAAACCCGACTAAAAAAATAAATATTTAACTATAAGTACAATAATATATTATATTTCTTTTGGAACAATTTATGTCGATTTTGGTAATGGGCCATGTTAGTTTAATGCCACGGCTATATATATTGTGTCGAGAAGTTTACAATGGTGTGTATTATTATTAATATAACAACATTAATTGGACCTACCAAATTTTAATACGGGGTATAAAACTCCGTTTTCTCTCTCTACGTAACGTTCCGCCGTTGATTTCCACAAGGCACCACCCCGCATATAAATACGACAGCTGGGCGGGGGGGCAAGCGTTTCCTGGTGCACAGCTGAATTCCTGGATAGATTCTCCTTTTTAATTTCTCTCCTCCTTCTTAATCCAGGGTTTCCTTATTCCTGTTCTTCGCTATCCCCGGCGGCTTGATTAAGTAAGGGAAGAGCTGAGGATTCTTGATTTTCCGATGATGGACGGCGGAAGAGAGGCGGAGAAGCGGAAGCGCCGGCAGAGCCAGCAGGAGAAACCCTACAGGGGGATTCGCATGAGGAAGTGGGGGAAGTGGGTGGCGGAGATTCGCGAGCCCAACAAACGCTCCCGGATTTGGCTCGGCTCCTACTCCTCCCCCGTCGCCGCCGCCCGCGCTTACGACACCGCCGTCTTCTACCTCCGCGGCCCCTCCGCCCGCCTCAACTTCCCCGAGTTCTTCGTCCACGACGATCGGCTCCCAGACCTCTCCGCCGCCGATATCCGCAAGAAGGCCACCGAAGTCGGAGCTAGGGTTGACGCCCTCCAGACCGCTCCCCATGCACCGCCCAAATCCGACCGGAACCCGATCCAAACCCGCCCCGCCCCCTTGAAACCCGACTTGAACGAGTACCCCAGCCCCGACAGCTCCGAGGAAGACAACTGACCCTCCACGACGGCGGACACCAAACAGCAATTTTCCGGCCGCCGCACACCCATGATGTTTTCCGGTATAATCCGAAGGGATTATATGTTCATAGTTTACCTTCAACTAGTTGTTTAAATTATATAATCAAAAAAATTACTATACATACAACAATCCAAATATATTCAGTTATCTTCTTTCCTATTTAATTTTCTTGAATTTTGTCATTAGTTTATTGTCTGTGGCGATTTCACTGTTCCATTGGGATGAAGTGGAGGGCAGGGAAAAAATAAATAAATAAATAAAAAGAAAAAAAAAAAGAGGAATATATGGAGACGCATGATGATAAGGGGAAACAAGATATGGCCTACAAACAATCAGTTGCAGAACCAACAAATTCTCTGCTTCTAGCAGTAGTTGAGAAAAGATAAAGATGACACACCAAATTTCTTGGCCCACTGCTATTCACCTCACTCCTCTCATTAAATTAATTAGGGTTAATAATCCAGTTTTAAAAAGTTAATTTTCTGTATTTCTTACAATTTTTATGTATTCAGGATTTTACCAAGATCTCGCTTAGCACTCGAGTTTAATTCTTGTTAACACTTTTTAAATTTTTTGGTTATAGCTTTTTTAGTACAGTTTGTCAGCTATTATATATTTATACAAAAATATGATTGGTTCATAAATACTTTTTCAACCTACTGAATTCCCACGCTTGAATTTGAACCTGATGTTAAGGAGAGTGGGTGACATATTCCATCTCTATTTGTTCTAATTTAACTCCTGTTAAATAGCTGTATATGTTCTGTTAAATAGCTGTATATGTTAGATTAGTTGTTATAACTTCTTGCTAGCTTTTCTCTATTAAACCGTATTTATATCTGCTTAGGTTTTAATCAATACAATCATCAAATTCATAAACTCGATCCAACTATGCTACTCGATTACAAAGTTTTTAGCAATAATCCATTTTTAAGTGTATAAATTTTCTTTTTGAAAAGTGTGAATAATCATATAATAATGTGTAGGGTGATAATACCGCCACCATCATGCCAAGAAAGGTAGTGGTCCAGACTCGTCCCTGTCATGGTGGACGACGGAGGCTTTGTTTTGGTGGTGATTGATGGGAAGGTGGGCGGTGGTTGTTTTTTCTGGTCAATTTTTTTTTAAATACAATTAACCTAATTATTACACCGAATATTCTATACGGAGTACAATATATTAGAGTAAATTTCAATTTTGGTCCAATGACTATTGAGGTTGGTTAATTTAGTATCTTTTTTTTTTTTGAAAATGGTTAATTTAGTATCTTAATTATTCAATTTTTATCAATTTTGATCAGTCAAATTGTCATCTAAATCTCATCTTTCCAGCGAGTCCATCTTTTCTACCATGTTTCCTCTTTTCTTCTTCTCCAGCGAATCCATCTTTTTTACTATGTTTCCGATGTAGTTATAGTGGGTCGTGAAAACAATAGTTGCCCATATAAAGTTCTTTAATTAATTATCCCCACAGCTGTTTCTTTCGGGTTGATATGTATGTATATCTGGCAAAAGTTGTGCATATATATATACATTCTCCCTTTTTCCCCAAAGTTCATTCCTTTATCCGCAAGGTGTGGTTGCAAAGTATGTATGGCCTGGGTACGACCAAACATGCAAAATCTCATAGTATCATGTGTTTTGGTATTGTTTATGACATCCTATTCTCATCTATGGTTATGTCATTATTGTTATCGCAAGATGCTTGGTGGTTGGTTGGTTGGTTCAGTTAGGACATTATTGGTATTCGTAGTTGCATCTATCAAAAATTTTTAAACATATACTTACAACTCAGATCTTTGAAGATCTTTCCCACTTTGCCTAATGCCATATGTTTGGTTGTGAATTATAATAATGTGTAATGGTGGAAAGTGATTGGCAGAGAAGGGTGCAACAGAAAGAGAATACTGTGGTCGGCAAACCTTAGTTTATTTGGTGAAAATTATATTAAAGAAAATTTTTTAATGTAAGAAGCTGGCAATGAGTAAACCTCATTCTTACTCAATAGTTTAATTACAAACCAAGGACGATTTCTCTTGGGCAAGCTCCCGTGCTTCCCGGAGCAAAAAATAATAATCGCCAGATCTGAACCGTTAAACGGACAGAGTTGAAAGACTCAGAACACCTTGTAAGAAAAAGTTATTTAAAGTCAATCCTTAGTCACACTTAGTAAGGAACTCCGCTAATACTCTGGGAGGTGGTTGGCAAAGCAGAGCTTCGCCCTCAGTTCTTTAAAAAAAAAAATCTTACAAACCAAATCAAACTTATATCCTTCATATACAACTATACAAGAATAATCATGTTTTAGTTACTTGATCATTTCCTATTTCTTATGAGGCTACAATTCAATTTTTTTATAATTGAGATTTTCCGACTTTTTTAGATTACACTTCTGAGTATAAAAAGGTTAATTTAAATCGAAGTTTTATAATATTCGTGATATATGAAATCCTTTCCTACCACGTAAAAAGTGAACATAAGTTTGAAATAAAGTTTTTAACACACTAAATCAATATATCAATCGGCTATAATAAAATTTTATTAAAAAGGAGTTTGGTTCCAATTCAAAGGATAAGTTTCAAGGCATTATTATATAGTACTCCACGTCTTTAATTTCTTACGTTAAATCCCACAAAAGTTCTATGGTCGGTTCTGCAATTCGGACCTTTCAGCATCGAATCTCTTCAAATTATTGTATCTCCAATTTTAAACTCAAATGCTTAAGAGTTTTCAGTCAACTTGCAAGCATCAACTACTTGCTATAATCAGTTTTTTCTTTTAAAATGCTAATTGCGATGTTTTAATAATTATATTTATTATTGACCCTATTACATATAGTATATATATATATATATAATACAAATATTTTATTTTTTACCTAACCGCATACTCCGCTAATTAACTTGTATGGGGTGGACTAGCACAAAATAAATTTAACTCGTAAACTTTACGAACTAACCAACTAATTTTTTAGGCCAACGCCGTGGGGTGGGCGGTCACACAATGACACCCCTAGTAAATAAGAATGGTTGTAACAATTTTAACAAAAGTTTGGTATTTTTTTGAGGGCAATTAAGAAAATGGAAGTGAAACTGTTGCACACACTTCATGTGTTCACACTCTAAGCAAAATAACGGCATTAGTTTGGTACATGACTCATATATTTTTTTTTTTTTTTTGAAAGTTACTGGCTCTATTACATTGTAGTATCTGTTCATATACTTTCTCAACCTATTGAAACACAAAGAACCAATAATGCCTCCACTGAGGCTTGAACTCGTAATCTTCCAAATGGAAGTCCAACCCGGGTACCATTAGACCACATAGTCCTGGTACTCATATATTAATTGAGTCAACTATTATACTACAACTTATATTAGTCTTATAATTATCTCATATCATTTGTTGTTTTTTTTAGTCTGTCATACAATATTAAAATCGACAAAATTCACTGGCTTGACCTGATATAATAGTGGCATGCACTATTTTACGGGTTGTGTTTGCTATGATTATTAACTATAGTATGTTGAATCTATCAATTTTGTATAGTAACCGTGTGCAACGTAACCTATCCGACATATTAATCATTGGGGTTTGTGCTAGCTAGCTCATGATTGTATATTTTTTGTCACTCTTATCTATTTATCTTCATATGCTAATCCATTATTGTATAATTTTCATCACTCCTATTTATCTATCTTCACATAACCTATTTATATCGATAATCATCCCCACTTAGTATTACCATTAATAGTGACTCACATTTTTATTTGTATGTGTATTATACATAAACAACTAAATTGTTCAATTGAAATTTACTTTTTAAAGTTTCAATCAACCTAAAGTGTAAAATATCTATTAAAAAAATTTCCCTCACCTTAGAAAATAAAATTTTATTTTTCCATTTTCATTTTATACTTCTCTTTAAAATGAAAATTTTCCAGAATGGGGCGATAATTAACGGGCTTAAAACGTGCAATGGGCTTCTTCATGACAGGCCCGGTGAAAGTTTGTTATAAAATACAGGCAAATTATGCTATGCATCCGTATGCACTATGCATGGTGCATACGGATGCCAAAACGACGTCGTTTCAATAAAACGCGCGTTTTTCCTTAAAAAAAAAATCAGGTTCGATTCCCAGCAACAACATATGAACTAAAATTTCATAATCGATGAACTATAATTTCATAATCGATGAGCTATAATTTCATAATCGATGAACTATAATTCCATAATCTAATCTATGAACTAAAAATTCCAGAATGAATGAACTAAAATTCCATAATCTATAAACTAAAATTTCAGAATCGATGAACTACAATTCCATAATCGATGAACTATAATTCCATAATCAATGAACTATAATTCCATAATCTATGAACTAAAATTCCAGAATGAATGAACAATATAATGTTGTTGCTGGGAATCGAATCTGATTTTTTTTTCAAGGGAGGACGCACATTTTTTAATAAAATGACGTCGTTTTGGCATACGGATGCACAGCATAACGATTGTAAAATACACACCCAGCCCATTTATATAATTGGGCTTGTTAAGTTTTTACCGATTAAGGTTCGTTATATCGTGGACCGCATTGCATAATCGATTATGCACCGCGCAGTGTTAACCGGGTAACACTACAGTGTATTTAAACAGACACTGCCTCACGTATTATTTTTATATTATCAAATGGAACTGCAGTTATATCAAAATGATACTGTAGTTGTGGTGAAATGAAACTGCAGTATATATAAAATGAAACTGAACATTTCACATATTTGAGTGTATATTGTACAATGAAACTGTAATTATATCGAAATGGTCATGTAGTTGTGTTTTAATGAAAGTATAGTGTATATAAAATAAAATTGAGTTAATACCCAAAATAGTCCCTCGACTATGTTGTAATTACCAATTTGGTCATCGACTATCATTCTTACCCAATTAAGTCCTCAACTATACAATTTTTACCCAATTTAGTCCTTTGTCAATTTGACTGTTTGTTGACTGTCAAAAGTGGAAATAAAGTTGTAATTTTACAAGTTTTCTCCTTCCTCCTCATTTAGCAGCGCCAAACCATGTAGCAATAAGCTCCGGTTGGGTTCTAAACCTGTCAGTATCGAAGTAGTGGTTATGCATCGGATAGCCCATGAATTTGATTTCCAACGATTTTTTGACGATCGAAATCTGATCGGAGTGTATTGCTGCATGGTTTGGCGCTGCTAAATGGAGAGGAAGGAGAAATCTTGTAAAATTATAATTTTGTCCCGACTTTTGACAGTCAACAAACAGTCGAATTAATACAGAGGACTAAATTGGGTAAGAATTATATAGTTGAGGACTAAATTGGGTAAGAATTGTATAGTTGAGGACTTAATTGAGTAAAAGTTACATAGTTGAGGACTTAATTGTGTAAGAATGGTAATTGAGGACCAAATTGGTAATTATGGCATAGTCGAGGGACCATTTTGGGTATTAACTCAATAAAATTAAATAACATTTTCACATATTTGAGTGTATAAATATTAAATGAAACTGTAGTTATATCGAAATGAAACTGTAGTTGTGTTGAACTGAAACTGCAGTGTATACAAAATGAAACTGAATAACATAGTTATTTTTTTGATGCGCGGTGCATAATCGATTATGCACCGCGGTGCACGATATAATTTGCCACCGATTAAGACCCAGGCTTTTCGATTTGGGCAAATTATTTTGTGGACCCGGGTCTAAAAATATACAATTTATATATTCAATATTCTCAATTTTTATATACTAAATGCTCACAATTTATATGTTAAATGTTCACAGTTTACATATTGAATGTTCATAATTTTATATACTAAATGTACATAATTACATACTGAATGTTTATAATTTGAATTAAAATCACATATTAAAAGTAAATTGCAACACATTCAACTAACAAATATTAACACTAATTAAATTTATAATTTATAATATTTCAAATTTTAGAATCATATTTTACTCACGTAACTATTCTTTTGGGATTATTTTCTAATTTCGATTTTAATTTCTATCCCCAAATAATTGTTGACTATACTCAAACAGTCTAACACTTATCCTCTAGTTAGTTACTTAAGTTTACCCAAATTCCCGCAAACGGCAAACAACATAGGCGATCAAATCTCACAACTGACGAATTAACTGAGGGCGGTGTACGGTGTACATGTGACGTATGATTCTCGTAGTCCGTAGATGTAACGCCACGCCAGCGCACACGTGTCACGCCCTTCGCACGGAGTATCGATGCGAAGCACTGGATCGCGTCTTTATCGTTACAAAACATAACCGTTATTGGGTTCCTGATCTGGGGAATCAACGGTGGTGATTTGGCCTAGGGTTTCTGAGTGGCGAGTTACCGGGTACCAAAACCCCGCTATATAAACCCCACAGTTGCATCGTCGCCGGTTCGCGGTGCAGTTTTCCCCCTGCCCTCCCTAAAAATCCTTCTGTTTCGTCTCTCTCCGTTGGATCTCCGGCGATTTATCCCTATTTTACCCTCCCTCTCCTATCGTATTTACATACAAAACCCCCCCTAAAAATCTCCGGCAATTTCTGTAACTAATTTCGGCGCTTATCGTTAATTATTATAGTTGAGCGGATAGGGGGAGAGGGAACAGAAAGCGAATTGCTATTTGGTCGTGAGAGGAGAATGGCTCAGATTCAAGTGCAGCATCAGAGTCCGGCGATGGGAGCCAACGGATTGGCAGCGCCGAGTGCCGGCGGCGTGGCAGCCGCCGCCGCCACTGCCGCGGTTGTTGCTCCCGGTGGCGTGGTCGGCAACCAGTTCCTGTCGACTTCGCTTTACGTTGGTGACCTGGACGCGAACGTGTCGGACTCGCAGCTCTACGATCTGTTCAACCAGGTCGGACAGGTTGTGTCTGTCAGGGTTTGTCGCGACATGAGCTCTCGCCGTTCCCTCGGCTATGGATATGTCAACTATACCAACCCTCAGGATGGTTAGTTATCTTCTATATATCCATATACCTCTTTAGATTATTGAGCAAAAATTAGAATAATGATGCCACTTTTTATTATCTTTGTTGTAATCCACTGTAGCTGCATGCGGATTGGTTCGAGTGATTTGCGTTTATTATATGTTCATGATAATGTTGCATTACTGTAGGGTGACTATAGTTGCATTGTTCTGGGAATCAAATTGTTTTTAAAAAAGTAATCTTTTTTTTTTTTTTGTTGTTGTTTTGTTTTCTTTTGTTTATACTTTTAAAGATTAAAGATGGTTCATTATTCAATTTTTCACCATGTATTGACCTTTGATTGCAGCTGCAAGGGCAATGGAGATGTTGAACTTCACTTCTATGAATAATAAGTCTATTAGGATCATGTATTCTCATCGTGATCCTAGTCTTCGTAAGAGTGGAACTGCTAATATATTTATTAAGGTACTTATTCTATGCTTACTCTCTTGGGGTCTTAGTTATGTCTGCATGATTGTGTTGTTTGGTATTGGTGTCTGTGCTTTTAGTTTTTAGTCTCATCTAAATGTGTTTGGAGCAGTTCACCATAGTCTGATTGCTGTTCAATGGATTATATCAATTATTTATTCAGATTGCTCTTATACTTTTGATTTTATCCCCTGTGCAGAATTTGGACAAATCAATTGACAACAAAGCCTTACATGACACTTTTTCTAGTTTTGGCAACATTCTTTCATGCAAAATAGCTACTGATTCTAATGGGCAGTCTAAAGGCTATGGTTTTGTACAATTTGTCAATGAAGACTCGGCTCAAAATGCTATTGACAAGTTAAATGGAATGCTCATGAATGACAAGCAAGTATACGTTGGACATTTTCTTCGTAAACAAGAAAGAGAGCCTGCAATAAGCAAGATAAAATTCAACAATGTTTATGTGAAGAACCTATCAGAATCCACCACAGATGATGATCTGAAGAAAGTTTTTGGCGAGTTTGGGATTATTACTAGTGCAGTAGTTATGAGAGATGCTGATGGAAAGTCAAAATGTTTTGGGTTTGTTAATTTTGAGAGTGCAGATGATGCTGCTAAGGCTGTTGATGCGTTAAATGGGAAGAAATTTGATGATAAAGAGTGGTATGTTGGGAAAGCTCAAAAAAAATCTGAAAGGGAACAAGAACTAAAAAGTAAGTTTGAGCAGGTTGTAAAGGAAACAGTGGATAAATACCAAGGATTAAATTTGTATGTAAAAAATTTGGATGATAGTATTGATGATGACAAGCTTAAGGAGCTGTTCGCAGAGTTTGGTACCATTAAATCATGCAAGGTATGCTGCAGTGGATTATCATTTCCTATCATTTTGGACTGCATGATTTTTGTTTTCCGTGTCATTCTTTGTTTCTGACACAGATGTTCATCTACTCTTCAGTTCAACGAATGATGTTCTAACAACTCAGTTTTTCTTTTTTATACAGGTTATGCGTGATCCAAGTGGAATTAGCAGAGGGTCAGGTTTTGTTGCCTTCTCAACTTCAGAAGAAGCCTCTAGAGCTGTAAGTTATATTTTATAATGTTGTCAGATGAGTCATTAAGCGTTTTTTTAGCAAGAATGAGCTAAACCAGATATGGTTATTTTGATTGTTGCAGCTTAATGACATGAATTCAAAAATGGTAGTTAGCAAACCACTCTATGTTGCACTTGCTCAACGGAAAGAGGAGAGGCGAGCGAAGTTGCAGGTAACACATTTTAGAATTCATTAATAGAAAACTTGTAATGTCATGTTTGTCATTCACTGGACATTAGCCTGGCACTGCACTTGTTTATGCAATTGCAGTTGACTGTTCTGCTGCAAATACAGAAATTGGGTTATATATGATGGCTATGCATCTATCTGAACAGAACTCAACCCCTTTGTGTGTGCATGTTTTGGGTGAAATGCATTGCATATGTGGTTGTCTGCAACACTGCCCATACGTATGTATATGTCTTGCAGGCACAGTTTTCTCAGATGCGACCAGTTGCAATGGCACCCTCTCTTGGTCCTCGTATGCCTATGTATCCTCCTGGAGCACCAGGTATTGGGCAGCAGCTCTTTTATGGGTCAGCTCCACCTGCCATAATTCCTCCCCAGGTACCTATTATTATTATTTTTTTCCATTCTCTGTTTTTCAAATATGTCTTCATGTTATCATTTGTTTATATAACCCGGATGTGTGTGGGTTTAATTGTCTAAGCAATGATAAAGATATTCTCAATGACCATAATTATTTAATTCTCTGTTTCAACTTTCAATGCTTTTTTTCATGTTCAATTCATTTTTCCTGTTGTTACAACTAGAGTAAGAATAAATGGTGGTGTTCACTTCACTTCTTTTACTACAAGTACAGCTGGATGGATTCTTTAGTTTAGTTTTTCGAGTGAGGGGCCACCTATTTAACCTGGGTTGAGGGATTTATGTTAATTAAAAGTATGCTGCCCCATCATTGTTTATGATTGAGAAACAATTGTTTTTAGGCTGGATTTGGCTACCAACAACAGCTTGTTCCTGGAATGCGTCCCGGGGGAGGTCCTATGCCAAATTTCTTCGTGCCTTTAGTCCAGCAGGGTCAACAAGCCCAACGTCAAGGTGGCAGGCGTGGAGCGGGACCTGGCCAACAAGCTCAGCAGCCTATGCCTTTGATGCAACAGCAGGTAGGTGTTTACTTTTTTAGCTGTTAATATCTTTCTTGTTGAGAGGCTATAAGCAATCTTGATGGTTTTTGTTTTTTTTTTTGGAAGATGCTTCCAAGGGGTAGGATGTACCGGTTTCCACCTGGCCGCAATGTGCCAGAGGTTCCTGTGCCTGGTGTGGGTGGAGGTATGCTTTCTGTTCCATATGATATGGGTGGAATCCTTCCTCGAGATGCTGCTACTATGGGACAGCCTGTGCCAATTACAGCACTTGCTAGTGCCCTTGCTAACGCACCACCCGAACAACAGAGGACTGTAAGTGTATATAATCGCTATATTTACCATCCCACCTTGCAATGTCTATGTGGAAAATGATTAACATGAGATTATATTATTCGATTCGCAGATGTTAGGTGAAAATCTGTACCCGCTTGTCGATCAGTTGGAGCATGAGCACGCTGCCAAAGTAACTGGCATGCTGCTCGAGATGGACCAGACGGAGGTTTTGCATCTACTCGAATCACCAGAGGCTTTGAAGTCCAAAGTTGCAGAGGCTATGGATGTTTTGAGAAACGTTCAGCAGCAGGCAAGCAGCCCTGCTGATCAACTCGCCTCTCTTTCCCTCAACGAAAACCTTGTTTCTTGAGTCCAGGCAGGAGGCCAGCGGTCCAAGTCCAAGGATGTCCGATGTTTAGATTATGGCAGGAGGCAGCGGTCCAAGGATGTCTGATGTTTAGATTATCTTATCGCCTTCCTTCCTTTTTAGTTCAGCTGGTAGTTTATTAGTAGTTTTGAGTATTATTATGGGATAATATTTCTTAGGTTTTCGAATGAGATTTGATATCCTCTATCGCATTAGGTATTTTTTGATTTCATTAATGCTCTTATCTATGACATGAAGAGAGTGAGTTTATTTAGATCAAAATATATTCTTATGTTATGCCTGTTTTCTGGTAGCATTTTTATTTACATACGTTCCTCTTGCGTATAAGATGGTGAATGCCCAATTTTTCTTAGAAAATGTTGGACATTAGGTTAACCTTGTCCAGGGGCCACTTGATTAAGCAAGTGACCTAAACTTGATATCCATTTTCCTTTTCCTTGCACTTCAATATAATTGTATAGTTCTTTTTTTTGGGGTATATCCAGGTTCTAACACAGTGACTAATCCCCTTGTTGAATTGTAGGCACCTGTTTTGGGTGGGACAACTGGCCTGGAGAATATAGTTATTTGGATAGGATTAGTCTTTAAATTTGTTGGTTGCCTGCCCAGATTGAGACTTGGTCTACAATGTGAATGAAAGTGCAGAAGAAAGCAAGGGAATTGCTTGTGAAGTGCGATAATTGAACACCATTCTTTACGTGTTCATATATTATGGGGTGGGGTGTTTGAAAGGGAGACTTATCTGCAGGGGCAAGTACAGGCCATGAGTGCTTTATTAGATACACATTACTTTTCTTCATATTAAATAGGAAGAGCATTAAGATATAGAGGCAGAGGAAGTTGTGTGGTTTGCGTACACATGGATGTTGTCTTTTTAGTGGGTCATTTCACAACCCCTAATGCCTTTAATTTTTAAAACCCCATCTTACAAGCAATAGGGTCATTAGGTCTGCCAAAATTATTGTCACCACTAGTCACCATGCATCAACTTGCATCCCCCTTTTCTCACCTATTAAATTAAAGTATTATTGGCAACCTAAACTGTCATATTTTCATTCACTCTGTATTAAATTAAGATAATAGGTTCAGGTTAATATTTTAGTTGAGACAGAACGCATATTATAATTTAATATTTGTTCTAATTATGTTAGGTGTTAAAACCTAAATGGTGGACCAGTAAGTATAATATTGATTGACTCATCTTTCATAGCACTACCGCATAAACTAGGTGGATGCTAGCTTCCACATCATTTTCTTATATGCATGTCATTAGGTTCTTTACATATGCATCCATTAACAAGATTCTATTCTCACCCATTCTAATTTCTTCCCTTTTCTTCTTCCGAAGGTTACGTTATTATTATTATTTTTTTTAATACTACTGACTCTATTACAATGTAGTATCTGTTCATAACTACTTTCTCAACTAAATAAAGTATAAAGAGTCAATATCACCTCCACTGAAGCAGAGTTACGTTATTTAATATTAAAAAAGATTAATTTTCTTTTAAAACAGACATTTTTCTTGTATTTAAAAATTTATTATTGAATGATTTATTTGATTTAATTTTTACCTTAAAAGGTGGTAAATGAAAACAGCAGAGACTTTTACCCATTAGGTGAAGTTCACCCAAGTATTGGAACATGGAATGGTGGGGATCAGAATACACCACATGACAATATGACATATTGTCCAACGCCCAGTAGCCATGTTTGACCTCACCACCAACATAGAAAAAATCAACCACAGTTTATCATCACATCATATCATATCATATTCATATATATGTATAGGTAGTAGCATATGTGCAGGCTAGCTAACCAATTAATAAGCTGGGACTCATTATTAGCCCCTTGATAACATTTTTCAAAGTTGGAGTAGACCACATGGGAGAGTTTGGAAAGGCAGCAGTAGTAGTCCATGGTTGTTGTCGTGACACAAACCAAACACCCACAAAATTGTACCAAAACATTAATGAGTCAAAACCGATACACACAAAGATAAGCCACCCAATGTTTGAAAACAGATGGCTCTGTTTAGTAAATGGCTATTAGTTGATAGTCGCTGTAAGTTGATTGGGTTAATTAGAGATTTAGAGGGTATATAACTAGTTAATAACATTAGCGGATTGTAAAAAGATGTTTGATAAATTAGTTGTTAGCTGATAACTATTTGGTACAATTTTTTTTTTTTTTATCAAAAAGCTAATTTTGAAAAAGCTGTTTATAGTAACTTTTGAATTTTAGCATTTTGGAGTTGATTTTTTAACAAAATCAGACAATTAATAGTGATCAAATAAACCAAAATTGGTTGATAAGCTAATAATTTACCAAACAAGGCCAATAACAAAAGACCAATGTTCGAATTTCAACAACAATGGTGTGGAGATTATGTTCAAGGTTGACAGATCGCTTCTGTGTGCTGATATTTGATCATGACTGCTGAGTCATTGAGTCACTGTAAATTACATTCTTCCCAATACTCTATCAGGTCGGTCTGGGGAGAAGAGAGAATAATAAGAGGGGCCATTGAATGACATTATACAGTTTTTTGGCTAAGGTTCTATTAACCATTAATTACTTTTGCATGCTTTTTATTTAATACGCAAACTTTCAGTCTTTGCTTTCATAAACGCATGCACCCACCCCACTCCAGCAGATGCATTTAAATCTTTCTTCTTTTTTTTTTTTTTTTTTTTTTTTTTTTTTTTTTTTTTTTTTTTTTAAAGCTTCCAAAGTCCAAACATTAATGGGTTGTTAGTACGTTTAATTAGCTTATTTGGTAAACAGTATTTTGACAAAGAATTACCAAATTTTACCGTCTTCAACGGTTTGACATAAACAGTACAAAATATGCTAGAGATGCTCATATATTATATGATTTCTTTAATTTGATCTTGTATTAAAATTGTAATCATTTTAATCAAATGTATTTTTAATATAACAATGATGCACGAAACATGTTAGGTGTGTAATATATATTATTATGTCAAAATTTATTAATGTTGTATTTTTAATGTAATTTATTTTTTCAGTGCAGTTTGTAGACTATTATATAGAAATAAAGTTTACTCAGTGCACACACTTGAATTGTCACGACAAATTTGTCCCTACATTTAAAAAATATATTAATGTGATAATAATTTATTTATATATATAGTGTTTACCTAAGTTCCGAAAGAAAATTAAAGTAATAAACAAAATAATATAACAATAGGTGTACTTTATAGATACTTTAACCTTAGCACGTACTATAATAAAATGTGATGGGGTGCATTGGAGATTGATCATGTTTTGGTGGTTACTTGGTGACACAATCCTCAATGTGTCTATACAACGTAAAAGCAAATTTCCAAAAATGTTTTCTTTTTTCTTTTTTAATAATATACTTATACTTTCATTATGATTTAAATGCATTAAGTTCTTATTCTACGAATATATATACTTACACTTTCATTCAACATTTCAATTCATTAGATAGTAAAAAATTGATTAAAAAAATGCATTAGCATATGTATTGTTCTTAAATATAAAATGAAAAATATTTTTGTAACCGTTTTTAATGTTAATATTTTGACTTGCAAGAAAGTTCACAGCTGAAGTTTGAATGTGTGCTTTGAGTAAAACTTGTTTTATAATTCTAATATGTAAATGACTACAAAGAGATAAATTAGTATATGTATGTTGATCATAGCTGACTAGCTCAAGCTGAGAACACTAACATATAGCTTCCAGAATAAGTACAATTAAAAACCTTGTGATTACCAAACTATTTTTTTTATTTTTTTTTTTGAACCCAAACTAAACCAATTGTTGAACCAACTTGATTTTAGTTAAGTTTATATTAATAATAATAATTATTATTATTATTATAATGGTGGGATTATCGATAGAGTTGTCTTGTAGTAATGCGTTATTTGAGTGGGGTAATGAGCATCTCATCTCTTCAAAATTGCACTTAAAGTCGCAGTACTAGATGAAGAATTTGTCAAATTTCCGTCCATCACAAGATAGGCAAGAAATTTTATTTAAAAAAAAAAAAAAACTCCAAAAATGGCAAATGTGGTGACATGATTATCATACTTTTTTAAAGGAACATGATTATCATACTTAAAGATTATAAATTTAATTATTATTATCAACATTCTTTTAGTTAAATTTATTATACACGATCTCTTTAGTGTAGTTTATGTTTTTTGTATTATTTACGAGCTATTGTCTTTCTAGTGCGATTTACGCTCATGTGTGATTTGTAAATTATTACATAGAACTATTTAATAAACATTTAAATTTTACATAGTGATTACGATGTTCGCGTAATCCAAATGAAAAGTCGAAAACTATATTCATAGTCAAATTTGTACCTACAGGATTTTTTCAATCTAATCCACTAATTGCTACCATATAATTGTGGCTTTCTGGGGCCCTATCTCTTCATCATTCACATCATATATACATTTCTTTTCTCTCATTATTTTAATTCCCAATAATCATATTTTAAACAAATTCTATATATTTGTTACAATAATTTGGTAGTTAATAATGTTGATCATGTAATATATGAAATAAAAATATACAATTTTATTATTATTTTAATTGTTAGAAATAATTATTTCTTAATACTGATTTATATGATAAATGTTGTAATTTCATAATGTACTCACGGTGACGATTAGTGATGTGTAAATGCAGAATTAATGGGTGAAATTCTCTTCCTCTCATTCTGTTAAAATTTAAGTTTATAAGGGTTAAAAGATGTATAATGGAAAAAGGTTAATGAGTTTCCTAAAAGGAGGTTTCGCATTTATAAAGAGATTTCTATTCCTAAAAGGAAGTTTACCCATTCCTCGAGGGTTTCTCATCACATCTATAAATACTCAGAAAAACTTTAGGGATCATATGGTTTTTTGAATCTCTAAGTTTTCAGATAATTAAGGTATACATATCAGAAAGCATCAATTGATTTATTTGCTCCAAAGATTACATCTCCAACCGAACAAGTAAGTTTTATCTTTACTTCTTTTTAATTAAAAATTCATGATCATGAACATTGTTTAGTTGATTAATTTAATATACATGCGATTCAATGTTAATTGTGCTTCCGCATTAAAGTTATAGCGCAAAAAAATATACAATTTTATTATTATTTTAATTGTTTAGTTGTGATGAAATACAGTTTTAAATTGCATACCCGAAGATATTGATCATATAATGTAAACATTTGGAATGTTTATGGTAATAACAAAAAAAAAAAAAAAACCTTTCAAAAAAAAAAGGTAAA